GGCCCGCAAACAAGTGAACAACCCAATTGGATTCTCGATGAAGTGCCTTCCTCCTTCGCCGGTTGAGGTTTGGCATACCTTCTTCAAGAGCACTCCGCAAAATCTTGGAGTCCACATCTTCCGATGGGAGTAGGCCTGACAATGCACGGTCGGGCACGTCCTGAAAGAAGGAGCCGTTGATACCGCCGTGTGGCCCGCCGCTAAATGATCCGACCATGTGCGCTGCGTCGCGATTTCCGCCTGTTTGATGCGATCCTTCCCCTCCTCCGTCCTTCGCCTGAGCTCCTCAACCTGTTGCATTTTGTGTTCCTCCAACTGTGATATCAGGAGCAAAGCTCCTCCTCATCCGTAGCCTGCCTCGCGGCAGGGTGGCCCCAGAATCCAAAAGCGCCAGGCCAACCCCTAGTCTCGAGCCGAGAATGGGGGTTTGTTGCTTGGTTCTTGGACTTTCCCAAGCCTGAGTTGGGGTCTCCCGAAGAGTCCCGGTTTGGGGGGCCCGAAGCCGGAAAACAGCTTGCGGGCACCGCTGAGTCCGAAGGATTGGGTGTAGACGATGCCGGCACTGAGGGCTGCTGCGACACAGTGCTCAAGACTTCGCTGAGGTTGGAGCGGTGTGGCGTCACTGCGTGGTGGGTTGGCCTCCAACTGCCTCAAAGCCTGGACTCCTCAGACTGCCTGTTGCATGAAAGTTTCCATGTTGAGCACCGGGGTGGCTCGGACAACGGGTTGGCCTGAGGACCTGAGGATGTGGAGGATGAAGTTGCCTGTGTGGAAGGGTTTTGATCCGGTGCTTTGGTGGGTTCCGCCTTACCTGCTTTGCAATCCTTAGCACGATGCTCCTCGGAGCCGCAGTTCAACCACTTCTTAAACCGTTCCGCCCAGATTACTTGATCCAAACTCGGCCAACAAGTGTTTGTGGTACTCCGTAACCGCCGCTTCTGCGGGGTGATTCTCAACATGCAATGCGCTCCTCGCCATCTGAGTCCTGAACAATGGGTCGGGATGATGGCTCAAGACCTGTGCAGTCATTTTGTTGAGTCCGTTCGCCAGAACGGAAAGATCAGACGCGACTATGCCGATATGCCGCAATCAATGCACCGTGTGTGCCATCTACCCCATCCCCTCAGGGTGGCGACACCGGAGGCCACATCATGAACCGCCGCGGGATTCTGCAAATGCTCCAGCACTAAGGCTTTCTCGGCGGCCCCACCGGGTTGGTAAAGTGTGTGCAGCCGAAACATGATATGGGTGGCATGCTGAGTGATCTCTCGGGCTACCATTTCCGCCTTCACTCCAGAATCCGATGCAGCCAAGATCATGCTGCAAGCGCGCGTGTTAACCCTAGACCGTTTACCCTCCACGAGCTCGGGCCGATCATCCGGTTCAAGTTTGATACGCTCTAAGGGGGATGCCTTAGCCGCCTTAGCCGTAGCCCATCTATCGTACGCATCACGGCTCACTTGGAAGACTGCAATCCACCACAAATCCCCCGTCAACCCGGCTACCAACGCAAGCCAATCCTGGAACTCCAAAAAACCAGCCGGCCCGAAGGGTCTGGAGCTTTCAGTGAAGGAAGTACGGATACACTAGGTTTGACGGTTTCTGGCACATCCCCGGTACCCTTATCCCTCATCTGTTGTTGGATTTGTTGCATGCTCGCAAACAGCGGGTCCATCATGGGACTCCCTGATGTACGAGTCCAGGGCTTCCGCCCGGCGGTGGATTTGCTGATGTGGGTGCTCCCCTACTGAAGGCTGCGCTCGGCTGTGCACCCGAGGCCTCATAAACTGTCATAAACCTGAGTGTTTGGAACCGGCACCTGCCCATCCCTTCCGGGATAGGTTGGGCATGCAGTGCTCCCATAGTTGGGTGGTCCTACCCTTCCGGGTTGAGGTTCAATGCGCTCCGGTTGCTCTGACCTCTGGTGGAATGCTAGACCGCTGACCCCCCAAACCACTAAACAAGCCAGATAACAACCCTGGAATTGCAGATGCCGCCGATTGCGCGGGACCTCTCAAGACTCAACCGCTTCCGTTGCAACGTCCTGCACACCAGGAGCTACTGGCGTGAAGACCTGATGATCTCGGGTTGGGGCTACTGGGGTTAGCCTCGAGACCTGCCCTGCGCGTCGGACAATGTTTGGGCCTGTGGCACGCTCCTTGCCACAACCACTTCCCTCAACGTTTGGTCTCTCTCCTCCGGCTGCCTCCTTAACCTCTGCATCTCAAGGTCCTGCGCCTCAGCTCTTTCACCAAACCCCGCTAGTTGCCGTGCAACCTCAGCTTGAATGGCCTCTACCGTACAATACCGGGGCCCTCTGCTCCAAGGCCTGCATGCGCTGCAACGTTTCAGCGCTTAACAAAGCCCTTCCGGAAAGCGTTCAAAGGACGTTGGGGTGCCATGCGCTCCCAGTTGTGGCGGTAGGCTCGTATGCGAACCCAAACTTCCCTCTCCCAAAGCAGCTTGCCCTGAAACACCGCTCGGATTATCACGAGTTTGTGATGTGGTTCGTGGTGGTGTGGCGTGTGTGCCTTGCAACACTGTGGGTACGTGCATCGCCTCAGCGCACTACACGGAAGAAGTCGCCAACTCTCGTAATAAGCTGGAAACCTGAAGTAGAAACCTTCAGCCATCTCAGCTATGGTTGGCCATCCCTGTTATGACAAGTTATGGCAGCGCGCCACCACTCGCAGTTCCTAGCACGCCAGTGCTGGCCTATAGACCTGGGCTCCGGTGAACCACCGGGCATCTGCACAACATGATGTGTGACATCACCACCCGTGGTGGTGGTCGACACTGGTGGCATTCCCCCTGAACCTCCGGACGGCTCGTGCTGGTCTATGCGTCCATGCCTCCCAGAGCCCCTCCCGTAGCCATGTTGGGTTGAAAGCCCATTCCACCTGATTGGCCATGTGCAGGTGTTGGCGTTAAACTCAAAAACCTAAAACGTTCTGCAGACCGTCCCTCCCGGGAGGTGGGCATGGCTGTTCTGTTTTGTCAGAACAGCCGTAGCCCTGCCCGCTCCGATGCGTTGGGCTCATAACCTGCTGATGTGAACCAGCATGCTGGAGTGATCATTTACACTGCAGCTGTAACCCCAGACATGGCTCACACGATAGGCGGAGATTCTACGCGCAAACAAAGGTTTGAAGTCGGTGCTACATTAGATGTGGCACTTACAACTATGATACATGTGGTGTGTTAGAAGCATCCTCAAGATCCTTCTGTGCTTGGGCCTAGGAGCAAGTGGAGAAAGCTTCACATGTAAACATAGCAGCAACTGCATAGGTGCCATGCACGTCAGCAACAACTGTTACTGATACGATTACTACTACTACTACTACTACTACTACTACTACTGCTAGCTATCGGCACTGCCACTGCTACTGCCACTGCTGCTGCTACTGCTACTGCTACTGCTGCTACGACAACGACGACTACTACTGGTACGACTACTGCCATGGCTATGACTACGAGTTTTTGTTACCATTGCCGTTGCAATTGCTGATTCTACTACGGCTCCTATTGCTTTTACTATTCTTATTACAATTTCTATATCACAGTTGCGATTGCTATTGCTGTCGCTACTCCTTGATACCACTGGTACTACGAGTATCAGTATACCACTAGTATTGTTAGTACTAGTACTATCCGTACTGGTACTGCTAGCACTGCTAGTCCTAACAGTCCTACCAGTACTATGAGTACTACTAGTACTACGGGTACTACGAAGTTAGTTGTCACAATTGGTATTACAACTGCTACGACGACGGCGACGATCACTCCTAACATGCTACTGCTATGACTGCACCTGCTGCAATGCGAGCGGTCACTCTTCTTGCAGTTTCGACGTTGAAGACACCTGCCTGGTGCCATCAGTGTGGGCACCCTTTGCCACCACCACCACCAGTGCCCCACACCCTAACCGCCAGCGTCGTTGCCAATATCACCGCTGCTGTTACTGGTGCCACTGCAATGTATTGAGTACTACGACCACTACTGCCAGGAGTTCTGCTGCTGCTGGTACTACTACTGCGACGACGACACTACTGCAACTACGAGCTACCACCATAGCCATCATTGATCACCACTGGTGCCACACTGCTGTTGCTGGTTGCAGCAACCACTGCAACTCATACGAGAACAAGAGAAGCCCGACGTGGCAAAAGCGAATATCCGCCATCCCTTGCGCCATCCGGACTGAGGCTCTTCTCCGGCACGGCACCATTGTGGCGCTGTGGTGCCTCTGGGCTTTGCCTTGGGTTGTTGTGCAATGTGCAGGTTGCATACACTGCAGTCGCATTAGGAGGTGTTGCCCATGGATGGTTACGTCATCTGTGCAGGAACGAAGTCCACCACCGCTTCATGCGCATGAATGCCCACAACGGCCACATGGACGGCTCCCCGTCGAAGCACTTGCACCACTATCCCGCCCATGGGTGGGCGTGGGAGCCCTTCCGGGTCCGCAGCTCAGAATCTCAGTAGGCGGTGCTTTGCCCTCTGCCCCGCATGACTTCTGTGGTGCAGCTTGCGATTACGACCTCCAATCCAGACAAACCCCTGGTAACATCTTTGAGACCTTTGACCTGATAGGTGGTGGACGCTGGTTTCGGACAAGTCGCCCTTCACAACGCGGGAAGCAACCGTTTCATCAAAATGGCTCACGAAGCTTGGTGTGTACAGGTGGAATGTACAATCGAGCTTCGCAAGTTCTGTTTGTGCACGGTCTGCCGTCTTTCCGCAGAGTTCCTGATGTCTCGACGAGGACATGATTCGTTCACCGACTCGCAACTGGAACGAGCTGCCTCTTAGCCAGAACCGTGTATGTGCTATGGCTGGAGTCTAGATTCTTGCCTAGCCGCCCAGCCTGGAAGGCCTCATGGGATTTCCGCTCTTCTCCGATCTCTGAGGCCTGGCGGCTGGGGCTCCGAGCGCTTTACCGTCGTCGATGCAGGCGAATGGGACTTCGTTCCCTGCCGTTCTTTGTGGAGCCATGCCGCCAAGGTCATAGCCACGGGGCCCAAAAGGTTGCTCTGCACAATTCGCACCACAACCGTCGCCCGGCTTCAACTCTTGTGCTGAAAGCGTTCCGAGCACAATTCATGAACACTTCGAGCACGGCCGAGGCTTTGTTTCCATGTGTCACCATGGCGATGGGTGCGTGAGTCCTGGCAAGGTGCAGTTTGGTGCCCCCTCAGCCCGGTAGTTTCCCTTGCTGAAGGGGCTTTCTGGGGTCTGCTAGAGCCGGGCAGTATAGAATAAATTACGCAGGAGTCTTTTGGAGGGACATGGCAGAACATGCGCAACATGCATGGATCAGGATTTTCCCAAAATACTGCATTTTCCGAAGTTTGCAATTGTGCTCCCGTCACAGTACCGTGCGTATTTTGGGGTGCAAATCCAATCGCCTCAAACATCGTGCTCCTGTGACAGTCCCGCGCGCATTTTTGGGGTTGGACTGGTGTTCCCGCCACAGTGCGGTGCGCTTTCTGCAGGGCCACCCGCCACAGTCTGGTGCACTTTTTGGATTCATGCGTGCCTCAGACAAGGTTCTCGGGTATGTAGGTCTTGTACTGCTAACCCAAGTGTCCCTTCAATGTTTGGTTGTCTGGGACCTGGCACGTCTCAAAGAGTACCATGCTGATGCCAGCACCTTCGCCAGGCTCCTGACCACTTGCCTGGTGGGTGGACGTGGTCGGTGACCCAGACGACGAGCGAACTTCGAACATTGAGAGAGGGAGAGAGGAAGGTCTGTGGGGCCCACACCTCTGATTCATGCACTTTGCAAAGAAAGCACGAATCCAAGCGCGGACTTTAAGCAACCCTTAAGCCCGATGAAGGATGGTGGAACCCGCACTGCAAGTAGGGTGGATGAACTTTCTTGATTCTTGATGTAAGTTCGTCAGTTGATGCCATATCTATACAGCCGCGATGGCCCGGCAATCTCCTTCGATCAAACTCGCAGGCTGCGTCAGCTGATTTTCCGACTTGCAACATCTGTCTCGATATCTCCGTACATCTCCTTTTCTAGATGTGTTGTCACGCTGTTTTTCAGAGCACATGTGGATTGTCGAAAAACTCGGCGAGCGAAGCGTCTGCACGGATCTGCCTGTGCCCGCACCAGCACATGACCGGCAGAATTTCTGAGCTTCTCGCCAACTTCTTTATCGGCAGCAATGAACGTTTTTTCTTGGAATCATCTTGCGAGACTTTCGTGAACACACTTTCCTGAGCGCTTCAGAAAGCCAAGTGTTGTTTGTCGTATCTAGCGTTTCTGGGAGTCGGATCCTTGCCCCTACCTTCAACACATCTGTAGATACCGACACTGTTGACCACGTTCACAATGGAAGTGGAGGTTGACGTTGGGTTGACTCCTTTGTTACACAGCCATGTAACTGCCGGGCCAGGTCTCAATCGTAGCACACAGCGTCAACTTCAAAAACGCTTGTCCGTTTCTTTGTTCATTTGTTGTCTGCTTGTCTGTCTCTTTGTTTGCTTGCTTGCTGGCTTGTTTGCTGGTTTGTTTGTTAATTTAAGCATGCACATAGGAGGCGGGTGTAGAACTCGTGTAATTTTGTTAAGAAGTCGCAGTCAGAGAGATAGTAAGCAAGACCCTCGAGGACAAGACGTGAGCGTCGGAGTTCACACCTAAGAGCGGTCTGTATGTATGCACCGGTGGATGCATGGATGGATGGACCCCTGCATGCATGGATCCATCCATCTGTGTATGGATGTATGTATGTGTGTATGTTTGTGAGTCTGGCTGTCAGTCAGTCAGTCTGTCTGTCTGTCCGTCTGTCTGAACATAGAGTAGAACAAAGGTGTTCGAAGTTAAAACGAAAGCATTTCGTGATTTCACGCATTCGACTGATGCTTGATTGATTGACTTAAATGACTTGTGAAGAACCTGCTAGGTCCTTGTACAGGGAGAGCAGTTGTCAGCTGCTCACCTTTCTCTTGCTACGGGCCGCTTTGCTCAAGGGAGGGATCTAGAGCCAAATCGCAGCGCTCATGCAAAACAGCT